CTGGGATTAGGGCTGAATGTTGATGGTTACTGGGGATGAGCTGGAACGACGGTGTCCAAAGTGACCTTTAGACATTTCACTGATCCTAGGAGCCTCTATGGAGCATGAATGAAGTCATCGTTGGTTCACCTCATTTAAAGAAAGAAAAACCAACAATGATCAAAGAAATAACATATAAATAAATCTAAAACATCTATGAAAATGAAAAAAATGAAACTTAGAAAATCCTTTGTGTTATGAGTCCAGTCCAGTTTGTTACTGAGGTGAACATCCAGGTATTTGAAACTCTCATCAAACATGTCTGGACTAAAATGATGGTTCCCTTAACTTCATACTAGCTGTCCAGCCTTTAGAGTCAATCTCTGCCATCAATGGTTCCTGTTCCTGTCAGTCAGACCTCTGCTCCTCTCAGCAGGTTTTCTGCTCCTCTCCTCATCAGCAAACTGCTCCAGAAATCTCAGGCTGCCTTTTCCAGACGGCCTGTTCCAGCTCCTTCCAAAGATGCTCAGTAGGATTGAGGTCAGGGCTCCTAGGGGCCCCTTCAGAACAGTCCAATGTTTTCCTCTCAGCCGTTCTGAGAGGAACGGCTGAGAGACGGCAGGCACCGTGAAGGGAGGTGAAGTCACGTGACCAACGGGAAGCTTAAAGTAGTGATCATCCGTCCCAAGGATCAGTTACGTCAGTTCATTATCAAGTCCAATATATAGTCCATGCTCTACGTATATAGTAATGGAGGGATTAGGGATTAGGGCGGACGTTCGGACACAGCAATAGTCCCTGTTGTCAGTGACCCTCAAATAAGTTCAGGTACAAAAATCTTCTCTGATTGGAGGATCCAAACAGCACATCAGATTTTAGCCAACGGGAGATCCGGTTAAGATTTTAACAAGGAATGTAGTGAAAGCAACGGCTCTGAAATGTGCTCTATGAAGAGAGGAGGGACAAACGGTCAACAATCCACCTAAACATCCTAATTCCTCGTTAGCGAGTTTCCTATGCTAAAGAGACCAACCACAGAACAGCAACTAACCACCACCCTCCCTGCTGTATGACGTCCTTTGGTCATAAATTTTAAATTCTGTCTGATGATGCTACTGTTTCATATTTAATGGATCAGCAGGAGGCGCTGTTGCACCATCCAGTGAAATTTAAACACAAAATCTTCACTAAAAAGTAATAAGTAAAAATTCAATAAATATCCACTGGCCTTGGTTTTCAAGATCTGAAGACGTTTC